GAAAAGGGACAAAGTGACGTCATATGGCCCACCATAAAACGAGGCACATTTACACGATAACATTGTTCCCACTTTTTGTAGCTTAAAAATTGCTTTTATCTCCTCTAAAATAATCATTTCTAACGTCAACATATATTTCACCCCCCAAAAAACAGAACAATCAAAAACTCGATGAAACGAAAGTGTCACATAACCTTTCACATCTTCCTACGAACAAAAACTTCATAAAATTCAAGTTCAGGAAATTTCCCTAGAGATATTCGTCCCCAATAGCCATTTCAAATCTTACACTACCAACAGAAGAAACAGAAACAGATTCAATTTGACATCGAGTCAAATAACGTAACGTAATTTCGTGCCGCGAATCTCTCAGATTCATCTTCGAAATCGATTTGGTGGCCGGTAAAATCAGAAACATTCATTCCCAATCACGTCGTATCAAGATCGATCGACAGATTGAAGCGCGCCGTCCGTCTACTCTTGCCAACCCATCGGGATTCTAACCTCAAAACTCGTCTCGAACCTACTTCGACCCGAAGGACTTAGCTCGTGGATCGATATGCATAATTAAAACGTTTATGTGATAAGTAGAGTTTCGTGTAATGTGGTGGCGTGAACGATTCGTCGATACGGTGTCGATGATCGACCGTCATGGCGGCGATTAATCATCGTCCCCGGTGGGGACAGTTCGAAAAGTCCCTAGATTCTTGTCGAACTCGTTCGTTCGTTGAAATTGCCGACGATGATTAATCGATAAAAGCAGAGGAGTTCATCGATCCTAGTGCAACCGTTTGAAACTTGACGAATTAATTAATCAGCCAAATTGTCGGTCCATTGAAAGAAACAATTCGAGGTGTATGTGGGAAACTGGTTGCACTGGAAATACTCAAATGAAGTTTAATCGATGCTACTTGAGTAAATTAATGCGCCGCGCATGTGAAGATAGTGAATCAATTTGAATTACTGCTATCCTGAAGAGAATCGGAGTTTAATTAGCACGCGTCCTTCGATTCGGGCATAATTCATGAAGTGATCGCGTGTTTGGAGACGTTTGAAAAATGTTTGACGATTTTCTAGGATTTATGCTGCATTATTTTTCTTTTTTCTTATTTTGGTATGAAAGGTTGGTTAAATTTTCCGTGTTACGTAATTGAAGAAGGTCTTCAGATGATAGAATTTAATGAAAACTATTCAAATTAGATTGATAAATCACCTCTTCTCTGTCCACAATGGTCGTCCACGAGCATCGTTCGACGAAAAATGTCCATCATCAACGTGATTATTACATTCTTAACAACGTCGATGATCATCTAAACGCACGATCTTATAACAATGAAACTGATCATCTTTATTAATTTATTTATTCCTCATTTAATCTAGTGGCAAACTCGCTTTTGGCGATGGATATTTACAATTTATTTACAATTTATTCACCTGTCGATTGATATGAGGGAGAAAGAGAAAGAGAGGAGAAAGTGGATGAAATAATTTCGTCCTTCGAGTTACGAGGGTCTCTTGAAAAATTCGTCGCTTAAGTATGAAGGACTATTGCAAGCTGCTTGTCATTTTTAGCAAAGGGGAACAATTTTCAAATTTCGAGTTTCGGAATTTTGGATTTTGTAAAATTTGAGATCATTGAAGTTCAAAAGCTTCCAATTTTCACATTTTCACATTTATAGATATGAAATATCCGGAGCTCTCAATACTTTAGTTTTCTAATTTTTAAATTTTTAGAATTCCTAATTTTCCCAAATTCCCAAAAATTCCCAATTCCTGAATTTATCAATTTTTGAGTCTTTGAAATCCTTAGTTTGTAATTTTTACTGTGCAATGTGTGATCTTTTGTGCACCGACGTACAGAGTTTCGTAGTTTTGTCATATTTTTCCTCTCTTTCACAGCTGGTGAAGTCGAGGTGTTTCAGTGACGGAGTAAAGATGGACAAAGGTGGGAAAGGAGCAGTGATCCAATACCTTGAATGACCTTTAGAGTGAGGCCCTTTATCACCAGGTATTGGATCACTGCTCGTTTCCCATTTTTGTCCATCTCTACTCCTTCTCTACAAACATTTCTACCTCACCAGCTGTGAAAGTGAAGCAAAAAGTCACAGAGCCATGAAATTCTTTAATCGCATATTATGCTACAAAAATGACAAGCATCTAACAACATCGTACAGCAAACTAATGATTTCGAAGATCCAAAAATTGATTTTAAAAATTGGGAATTTTCAAGATTTCAGATTTAAAAATTTGGAAAATAGTAAATTAGGAATTTGAATATTTGGAGATTAAAAAATTAAAGAATTCTAAATTCCCGTGATTTTAGATTAGAATATTTGCAGATTAAAAAATTATAAATTTCAAAGATTCCAAAATTGAAAAGTAGCACATCAAGGATTCAAAAATAATAAAATTGCCAGCATGGACACTTCGTGGATCTCAAATTGTGTACATCAGAAAACTTCAAATTCGCGAGAATCGAAAATTTCACAACTCGTGAATTTAAAAATTCCAAAACATTATTCTTAATTCTTCCACTACAAAATTTCAACAAATCGCAAGCAACGATCATTCGTACTTAGACCACGAATGTTTAAACTAAAAGACCCTTGCATATTTTTTGAGAATTTTCGATCTCGATCTCCTTATGAACCTGTTACAAAACAGTCCTGTTTGTGTGTGTGTGTGTGTGTCTTTCTTTCGTCGTTAATTGTATTTACAAATCGTATATTATTACTTAATCGTAAATGGCAGAAGACTTCGGAATAAGCGGCTAACGGCGATATTTACAGAAAGCTGGTTCGCGAGGTTCGATTGATCATTTACGCATCGAGAGTCTCGCAGCTGACGGACGTGTCCCAGATAGAACCGCAAGTGTTTGGTAAATAAATAATCACGAAGGCCGGATTTAGCGGCTACGGCGAGACGTTTCGAGCCGAGGAATTCTCGTTGAGCAAACGCAAGTGCAATTTCCAAGAAACGAGAATTAAAAATGGGAGAACAAATTGCGACTGCTTTGTGGAAAATTTTTCCGAGAAAGCGAATTAAATAATATTTACCATATTCAAATGAGAAATGTAATTTCAAAGGGAGGTGTGCCAGAGGATCTACAATTCTAGAATAATTTATAACGGAATTAAATTTTCGAAGAAAGAACTTTAGAGAAAATACAATACAATTTTTCACGGAGAACAATATCGAACGAGAGTTTAATTTTAAGGTAAAATTAATTTCACGGAAATTCGTTCCGGACAAAGGTGGATTTAAATAGAGAAATTTTACGTGAATTTTAAAACAAAGATTTCGAACGAAGACTAATTTTGAGAAGAAGGAATTTCTTACCAAGTTTAATTTCTGGATGGAATTCATTTTAATAATACCGATTGAGAGAAATTCTCAGCTGTTATAAAGCAACAAAATGAAAAAAAAAATCACGCTTACGTTAATTGTAGCTTTGAGAAATTTCTAAAACACAGTTCGTTCTATCTGGAATTGGGTTATCAATGCACACCTTCGGAAAGGAAGTGCATTCTTCACAAAACTCGCAGGTTTCTTCGCTCCAGTAACGTTACATTTCTCTCTTCCCATCTTCTTCCTCACACTCTCCTCCATTGCCCTCCTTTTAAACCCAACTTTTGAAAACACTAGTTCCTATGTTTCTCCTTACCTCGCTGCTCCAAAAAACCGAGACTTTTTACAGACGAAATATCGAAGAAAAAGCAGCCACCGGTGGTTGCAACGTCTTCGTAAACTGAGGTCTTCCATTCTCGCGTATTTTGAATGGTGAAAAAGCAAAGTCGTGTCCGAGGCTGATAGAATCTCCGCGCTCCTTTACTAAAAGCTTCGAATTCCCGATAAAAACGCCATTTTCCCCCGGCAACAACTCGAACGTAGAATTTTCTTTGACGCTTTTATTTATTACTTTATTCACTTATATCGAAGTAACGTTCGATTTATTAATTAACGTTGTTTCTTTTCAATTTATTCTTTTAACATCGAGATACTCTTTTCGATTCGCTCGGTACCACTGTATCACAATTTCCTTTAGCAGCACTAAGACGATTAAAACTTCTTTAAATTTGTCGAATTAATATATATGTGTATATATATATATCTATGTGTATGTATATATATTTACACAGATCACACGTTTCTTCTTTCATTAAATGTTCCCGACAATGGAACGGAATTCTCAACTCGATTAATCCTGGAGAAATTTCAACATTCTTCTTTTTTCTTCTCTTTTCTTCGTTTTGCGGATATTCACACTTCGAGAAAAAGTCGATAAGAGTTGATCCAACTTTAAGAGGGCGAGCGATTCAGGTCCAATTACGGCCATTTTGCGTTGAATCGTCGCAGAAAAGGCTTACCAGGGCTTCCACTTCCCTTATCTGACGGTTCCAATTAAAAAATTAAGGGAAGAGGAAGGGCGGAAGCTGTGTACCTGGGGATTGAATAAGAGAGAACGGGAAATCCAGGCTCGATTAGGATGTCTTTGCCCGGAACTTACAAACAGAATCACTGGACATAACTTCTTCATGGAACTTTCGTGAAACAACGGTTAAAGGAGCAAAACTAAAAAGGAAAACGAGAGGAGGGAGTAGAACGTTGCACTTGGGGGAATTCTACTGAACCAACGAGGAACCTAGCCTGAACAAGTTTCATTTATATCCTCCAATGTGATTCTCGATGATTTTCACAGATCGATTCTTGAAAAAAAATTTCCAATTTTTAGGTTCAAGTTTCAATTGATACACACAGAGCTGACTCTGGGGAATTTTTCTCATGTTGGTACCAAGTTTATGCGCATTTGAATCATTACAGAAAGCACAGGTCTATCGATACAGTTCGTTAAAAAAACAGCAGAACAGTGAATTCCCTAGATAATTCACACTTGTCCAAACAAAATTTGTTTTTTTTTTTAATTTTTTAATCCAGTTCCTGCGTGAGTTCAAGTGACTAGAAAGACACTGTGACACATTCACCACACACAGCCGCCATTTTTACACGGTGACCTCCTCGGAAAATCTACTCTTGTCGTCCAGGTTGATCACTATAGCGTGAGTCCTCGAGTGGCCAGATTTGCTCTTGTTTTTTTCTCGGTCCCTCGTTTCTGTTTCTTTGTCTTCGTGTCTTGTTTCTGTACCAATGTCCTCCATAGTTGGTCTGCCGGAAGTGGAGACTGCCACGTCGCTGGTCCTTGTCAATTTCCTCGTCTCCACAGAGACTAAAACTTCAGCGTCCTTCGATGAGCCTTGTTCCTTGCTTCTGATGCCATTCTTCTCCACACAGGCTTGACACCTCCTTTCCTCCTTGATTTCTTCACCTGAACACAGGTTTGTTTTTGTTACGTTCTATCTCGTGTGTGTGCATGTGTGGAAAGATGGAGTCTTCTTTGTGAAAAGTTGGAATGAATCTAGGGATTTTGTTCGACGTGCTTGATTGCCTGTGTATGAATGGTGGTGCTGTTTCGGTGATTTTTTAGGTTAAGTTGATTTCCGTCGTTTATCGTGTGTATGAGGGAATATGTGAAAATACGAAGTCTTTCTTGTGGGAACATGGAGAGAATCTAGGGATTTCGTTTGACATGCTTGGTTGCCTGTCTACGTAATGGAGGTGTTGTTTTGCTGTTTTTTGAGGTTAGGTTCGCTTCTTTTATACGTGACATTGCATAGAAAAACGTAGAGTTGAAGTTAAGATACGAGATTCTGATTGAGAACGATGTAATATGTAGGGTGATTTAAAAATAACTTATCAAAATTCGCTAGCACATTTTCCAGTATAAATTTAAGAGATTAATTTTTTCTTTACGTCATTTCCGAATCATCTTGTATAATCTCTCGAAATTAAAAATAAAACAGTTTTGTTTTGCTATTTTATCAATGTAAAACGCGAGAAAAGAAATTTCAAAGTAATTTAAGATAAGTTAACGATTATTTCTGATCAAATTTCATTTACCCTTTTGGTCACCGTCACTTTTGAAGGATCCTCCTACGTCAGTTTCGGCGATCGTCGTGGATCCGTTCAGGTCGTTCAGTCTCATGCTCGACGAGATCGCCTGAATTGTGGAAACCTGAGTTTCCGAGCGATTCGCCGCCTCTTGCATCGCTGCGAGCTTGTTCACCAGGTGGTGGTTACCCAGCAGCATATTTTTCTCCTTCAGGACTTCCAATTGGCTAATCAACCGACGGAATTCCTCCTGGAACATTTTCAAGCAGAATATCCTACGTCAGAGGAATGAAAATTTTCAAAAATAAATTATTGCAGGGAATTTAAGGGAGACGTTATATTGGAATTACAACCTAAGGAATTTACAGGAGGAAAATTTCATTTCACGGAAAAGTATAAATTGTACGTAAAGGATTCTCGGGAATTAGAAGGGGCAAAAATTTCTCTTCTCAAATAATCTAAAAACTTTTCACAGAAACTTCTATATCAGCCAATTAGCTGACTTCGATTTTTGTTTCAGATATTTCTGGTACATTTTTCAGTTATAAAAGGTGTTCTCAAATCGTTCTCCACCAGAGTTTAAACATTTCGTTATTAGAGTCTTGATATTATTACGTCTCTTATAACTTGGAAACTACATATTGGGAAGATCTGTATTGGGTTGTTCGGAAAGTTTGTAGCGAAATTTCAACCGTCGTATCTCTGTTTCTAATTGACATAGCGATAAAAGTTAAACGGTATTTTTCTCGACAGTTGAAGGCGAATCCAACGTGCTACTCAAATAATTCGTAAGGTGCACGGGGATGGATATAAGTCGAGTTATAGTTTTTGCAGTGGAACGTGAATGTTGAATTTTTTATGGCAACGCTCTTTGTATTGTTAGGAGACAGGAGTAGAGATAGATAAAGATAGAAGTAGAGAAGGTGATGGAAACGGAAAATTTGTAGAAAGCGGGGCCGTTCGTCCTCGTGCAAACCTGGATGCCACATGTGCGCTTCTTAGGCTACTCGAGGACGAAGGCAAGTCTTAACCCGGGGAGAGACAAAAGAACGGAAACTAAAATCTGAAGGAGTTGGAAAAGAGGAAGTTCGTGTGGAAGAATAGAACAAGGTTCGGTAAGGGCTTGTTGGGCAGCGACATACCCGCCACACACCTTTGCAACATATTAGAAATGATAACAAAACAGATAGAGTTCCATCATAATAAAATAAAAATGAAAAGTATGCAAAAACATGACTTCAAAAACTGGTCACCTAATATGAGACCCAGGTTTCACCTTGTCAAAACTTATTTTTCCTGTCTCTTTTCACACATTGGGCACACAAAATTAATTTCGTCTGCACCGCAGTCTTCATGGGCCCACCGGTAACACGTTATACACTAAAACGAAATTGAGTTAGCTAATATGAGATCCTTCTTATAACGGGAACTTCCACGGGTCTCATATTCGGAAACAATAGCGTGATAATTACTAAATAGCTTCGAGGTTAAGTCTTCATTATTTAATGATACGCAACTAGTAAGCCTTAAACTCCGTTGCATGTACTATACAACAATATTTATGAAAATGATTATACACTTACTATTTTCGAGGTATTTGCAATTCAATCGAACCACTTCAAAAACTTTCTACAACGTATTTCACAGATATACTTGCCCAAGACGCTCAATTGATTTTAATAAAGTTTGATATTTAATTTGATAATTAACACGGTTAATTACGAAACAAAACAGCATCGCTACAACATTCAAGAGTTCTGTAACGGAGATAAACTGGGGTCTGGTATTGAGAGAGGTTTCATATTAGGCAACTTTACCCTACGTCAGTTTGAATTTTGCTTACATTTTGCTACAAACTTTCCGAGCCATCCAACATATTAGAAATATTTGTACAGATAAAAGAGTAGTACAGTAGTATCGCTTTATTTAGCCTTACAGCCAAGAATTGGACTTGGTTTACATATACTACGTTTACAAATCTACCTTACCCACACATACGGTTCATTCCTGTTCTGTCCTACTCTATTCTTACCCTAACCATTGCACCCTTTCCTATTCTCCTCCATTTGGTTAAGCTTTGTGCTCTCTTTTCTCTCTTTCTTCTCAACTTTCCTAGCCATGCTTCGACCTTTCTGTCCCGTCTCCCACTCACTATATCTTCCATCTTGATCTAAAAGAGTAGCACAGAAGGAAGTAGTTTTGTTTCTACAGCATTTGTTTCTATTTCTAATCGTTTTTAAAGATATACATAGCTATTCCCAGTTGCGAGACGCTCTGTAGGACACAGAATTCTACGGATCAAGAGTCTAGGGGAAAAGGAGCAAAATCCCCAGAGACATAAAAGGCAGAGATTCGTCACAATTCCAGCCGTTGTCGCGTGCATTCGATGCGTGAAACATGTTCCATTGTCCGAAATATTGTCTGTATTAATTACGCGGCCACCGTGCGTTCTCTCTTCTTCCAGGGAACGATAATCCAGTGAAAACGTGAAACAGCGTGGAGAAACTTGCTCTGTTAAGTGGAAAACAGATGTTCCACTATTGGAGAATTCTATCTTCGGCTGAAATCAGCCGACTTTGAAGCGAGCGTCACGTTAATCGCTCGATGCCTATAAAGCAGGGCTTTCAGTCTTTCTAAACGACTCCTGTTTAATTGGCCGCGGGCTGCATTTTCTTTTTCAACGTAATCGCTAACCTAAATTCCCCGTGGCGATTGTTGCCGACTTGTGCAATTGTGCAGCACGATCGAGTTTGAAAATTCTTCTTGTTCGCGTCTTAAATATTCATATCTCTGTCAAAAATCGTTCTTAACATTTCTCTCTTCTTTTGAAAAGAAATATTTCTGTTTTTTCTTTCTCATTTTTGCATCAAAATTTCTCGGTTTTTGTGTTTCAATGTTCTTTATATGCTGCAAAAAATAATTTTTGCCCTTCTCTCCTCCTTTTTTTTAAAGAAAGTTTCCATTTTTTGGCAATATTTGTCGACTGCGTTAATTTCCTACTAAAGACGGAATTTATAGGAATTTATAATTGGAGAGTTCACAGAGAATATTTGAAATATCTGCCAATATTCTTTACTCGACAATCTTCGTCAACATCAACACTGTAAGCTTCCAATAATCGAAATGAAATATCAGAATGTCGAAAGATTAATGTTCTTTTCACTTTTTTTCAGATCAGAAAATAATCACTTTGGAGGCTATAAAAATATTTCCAATTAACACCCGAAGAATATAATTTCAAATGGGAAAAACAATCTTTTTGAAAGTTTTCGAGATTAGATGAAAATATTAATTTCAAGCTTCCCTTTTTTTTTTAGGTCCATTGAATTCTTTTCGAAGGGGAAGGCGTAACTATACGGGACATTAGGCCACGTTTAGCACCATCGGTAGTAAATCCGATTCTCCAATGTCGATATCGTAATTAACGCAGCTAGCTGGCCTATTAATCGGCTTTTCGTACAATGGGGCTTGACGCTTCGATGCCTATTAATCGGTATTTGGCCGCATGGTATGCCCGATATATGGGGTGTTTCGGTGTATATGCTGGTCGTGAACGATCTTGAATAAATTCTTAGCCATGAGAAACAGTAAGCGACGATATTTATAAACAATTACGAAATTCGATCATTTCTCCATAAAAAAAAATTACTTTTTCTTGTGTCTACCTTAATCACGTAATTGAAGAAGATACATGTACTAACCTAATCTAAGTTGAAATGTAGCTACTTTAAATGAATATTTGTTTCACTCATGCTTGAGTATTTGAAAATTTGATGACTGAAGAGGTTCTCCCTAACTATGTACATCCCTCAAATTAGATAATATAAAAAATACACACACTGGTACATTGGGTATTCGACTTACCCTAAGCTAGCTTAAGGGGTCTTCCTACTGTGACGGCTGAAGAAACTTAATTTTTCGGAAATTTAAAACAAAGCAAGTGCTACACGTATCCTTGTGAAAATTTGTGTGTTTATTCTATCGTCTTTTAAGAACACCAAAATATTTTTTATAAGTGAAAATATACATCTGTTGTAAAGCAGGACCATCGTGAAGAAAGCGCCTTGAAAAATATCCTTCCCGATGGCTGACACGATATCAGACGTTGTACTTATCCAAAATACAGAATGCAAACATATTCTCAATCTGTAGACGTGTGGCTATCGTCTGAACTAGAATAATAAAAAAATATTGAGAAATAAAGAAATGGCAAGGTTTCAAAGAAATTGCTTTCGATTTTTAAAAAATGATGGTCTTTTTCACCGCAAAGACTGAATTTTGAAAATACTTGCACAATTCTAGTTCAGACGATAAAGCAACATCTACCGAATATACCTGACAAATTTCGAGTGAATCGGACTTCTGGTTTTTTGGTAATCATGCCAGTTTGAAAAATGCTGTTTCGAGAAAAACGCGTTTAAAATTTTAACTACAGTTTGAGACTGCATAAAACCGCTTCCTTTGAAGGCGCAAGGGAGAGTCGTACGGTACCGACCACTCTAAGTTTTTGTACTATAACTTGGGTTAATGTTGGTAAAAATGAAATTTCAAAAAAGTAATTTGTAGTAGAAAGGGTGCTTGATAAAAGGGGACAAATGGTTTTTCTTAAATTTTCTCATAAAGATAAATAATTGGTAGAAATAAAAAAGTTGTAATTTGCAGCGAACGAAAAATTGTCGTACAGTAACGGCCAGCTACTTAGTTGGTAGATTTGAAGGTCTAAGTAATAAATAATGTTAGTAAAAATCATTTAAAAATAGAATAGAACTTTTACTTAGGCATCGATATTTTCTTGATCCGTACACTCCACGTGAGCCCAACCATTGCAGCTATGAAAAATAACTTTTGTCGTAAACGTTAAACGTCTTAGAACTCCGGTAATACTGAAGAAAACAGAACGTCGCCGGAATACGTTGCTCAGAGCTGTAGTATTCATTTGTTTTCCCATCAATAGTGCAGTCAACTAACAGTATAAGCGAGATCTAACTTTGGCCGGTACTGTACGACTCTCCCCTATACCTCTGCCAATTTTGAGAATTAAGCTTTAAAACTTCGTGGACATATTTTCGAGATGTTAAACTATAAGAAAATAAAAAAAAATCAATTTTTTCAACCCGTCACAGTAGGAAGATCCCTTACCAAGTATAAGTAAACATTGGTATACATTTGTATTTCGAACTGTGAATATTTAAAAGTTCGAGAGGGCAGATCTGGCGATTGAAAAATGTAAATTTCACCGCTCAGTTACAC